AGTTCAGGCTGGTCTTGAATTTGCTATGATCCTCTTGCCTCTGCCTCCCTGGAGTGCTGGGAATTTATAGGCATATGCCACCATACACTGCTCCAAATTCTAAGGCATTTCCTCTTATGTTTATTTGCTTGTGTTCTTCATTTCAAAGCAGAGCAATTTTTTTTTTTTTTTGGCACCATGGATCGAATCTGGGTCCTTCTGCTTGCAAGGCAGGCAGCAGAACCACTGAATCCCCGGCCTGCTTGTGTTCTTTATGCTTTAATCTTCATTTCTGAAATGCTTTTTTGTTTCTAATGTTTTCCTGAATTTGTTCATCTCATTTCTGAGTTTTTCTAAATCTCACATATAATTCTGTCATAGGTTGTACCTTGTAAAATAACTTTTGGCTGGTTTTGAAATATTAGGTTAGCAGTCTCACCTGTTTTGTAGACACACCTTCCTTGCACTGTCTGTAGTGGCATTTTGTTCATTTTGTTTTGTTTTGTTCTTTGCTTTTATACTAATTTTGTATGTACTTTGACCTTAATCCTATACTTTTGCACATTTTTAGTAAAATTAATTTTCCTAAACTTTAGAATGGGGGTTGGTTTAGAATAATGTTTAAACTTCGTATCTTTAGAACATTCTTCTTTAAAGCCTTATTTCTTTTTGGTAAGATGTTCAAAATATCAGAGCTTTCACAGATTTCCTATTGCTGTTTACCTCCTCCACAATTTTTTCTGGGAGGTCATCTTCTTTTATTTCTGTTTATTGTTTCTATAATGCTCAACTTGGATTCTATTCCAAGAAGCTTCTCTTCAGTGTAGGGTTGTGATCAGGATAGGAGCTTTGACCCGTTCACTATTTGGAGAGACTACAGGGCCCAGACTGTGATACTTTCTTCTGGTCCCCCTGTGAACCCCTTGAACTTAGCTGTGATTGTAGTTTCATGATTTTCCTAGGTTCAGCTGCTATAATCACATTGGCTTGATAAGCCTTACAACCAACATGCTGGTTATTTTGTATTTTGTATGCTGATAATATACAGTTCTTGTAGTTAAGTTGTTCCCACTTATTCATATTTTGGGGGGTTGGGGGGGAGTTCATTGACCTGGCTGAATTATGAATATTACACAGTCTCTATTTTGCCATTAAAAAAAAAAAACAAAACTATACTGACATTGTTACCTTTTGGCATTCTTATCACTGAATATGTTGATCAAAAGATTTTCATCTGATTTTGAACAAAAATAAACAGAGTAATGCTAATTTAATGTGTCCCTTGCTGAAACAAACATGGATTTTATTGAAAATGCCTTGCTAAAAACAAGAAAACAAACAAAACTTCTAAAAAATGAACTTAGCTCCCTTAAAGCAAGTGACTGTGATGCAGTAAATTTATATTCTGATACAAGCTCCTCATCTTGTGAACCAGTTAACAACAGTTCATGAACCGGTAGCGTATACTGATTTACTGAAATGTTTAAGAAAAATCGGACACCAGTTTACAGGATGATTGGTTAATTTAAAAGTTGTTTCTGGAGCTGGGGGTGTAGCTCAGTAGCAGAGCATTTGTCTAGTATGTATTAGGGTCCTGGGTTAGAGCCCCACAACTACAAAAAGAGAAGAGGAGAAGAGAGAAAAAGTAGTCTCTTAATGATGACACATTATGGGCAGCAGAAAAAGAGCAAGTAGTGCCATGCTTAGTTTTAAAAAATGTTCAACATTTGCTTTATAAAAAATGTTGTAGTTCAGCCAGTCTAATGGCATATATAAATATATATATGTGCGTGTGCATATATACACATTTCAACCACTCAAACTTTTATTTTGACTGATAAAATATTTAGACACAAGTGATAGGTACCATAATGTGTACCCCAGCTAATTCCAAAAATATTTCTGGTTTACAATTTAACCTTGTAAAATACTGTTTTGCTTGTTTTTTGAAAGCCATGGCATTATAAATGCATTATCATTGTAATACAGACAATATTAAAGTTGAACTGGTTAACTGAACTTATTTACAATATCAGATGTTATACTTTTATTAGAACGGACACCAAAAGCTTTCCTTTGATTCTATTAAGTGGATGAAAAAAAGGAAAGCATTATTGGAATTAGCTGACTTGCTATTTGATGTATCTGATGGCACTAATATTATTTAACTGTGAGATTAATATTCTGCTGAGTGACCATGGTAATAGACATGGCTTGAAGCTGTGTGTGTGTGTGTGTGTGTGTGTGTATGGTATTGGGCACTGAACCCAGAGCCTCTCATATACTACAGCAAGTGTTCTAGAACTGAGCTACATCCCTAGTGCTTTTTGTTTGTTTTTGTTTTGGTACTGGGGATCAAACTCGGGACCTTGACAACCCTAATGCTTTTTAAATTTTCACTTTAAGATGGTCTTGCTAATTTGCCCAAGTTGGACATAAACTCAAGATGGGATTATAGGCATGTGGCAACTACACCCATCTGTCTTTTTTTTTTTTAATAGACAAGAAAATTTGGTATTAAAGATGAGTGAATTGATTCAGAAGAATTTAGAAAATGTAAATGGAAGCTTAAACTTAACAAAATGTACTTTCTGCAGTCGAACCAATACAAATGTAACTTTGAGATAGTTTTCCTAAAATATCACAACTTAGGAAATATATTTCTCCTCTCCCCTCTCATTTACTTTTTATTCTTCCTCTTCCTCCCTCTCCTTACTTTCTCCTCTTTTTTTTCTGTGATAAAGTGTTGCTCAACTGGGCTTGAACTCATGATCCTCTAGCCTCAGCCTCCCTGGTAACTATGATTACAGGCCACTGGGGCCAACAGACCAGAAGTGTTTCTTCTGGCTTTGTAAAAAATTTTAATTTATCAGTACATGTATGTAGTACATAATGTTTATATTGCTTGTGTGGAGTTGGTATATGTACATAGTACATCCTAATAGCTTTTTTTTTCATCTCCTTTCCCATCCCACCCTCATCTCCTGATCCACTGCCTTTTCTGGTACATGTGTGCAGTACACAGTATTTTTAGTGATATCACTTTAGTGCTCATGATAGATGGTAAATATTAAAAGATGTTTTAAGTGTTAAATCTACAGTGACTTTTCCTAAGTGAAAGAAGATCAATATTTAATTTTCTATTAAAGATACACTTTCTTCTTTATTTCTTTAAAATGCAAAAATGCAAGGTTTAGCAAACAATAAAATAAATAGTTGTAGATTTTTACCATGTAATCATAGGGAGCAAGTCTTTAGACTTTTCTCTGTAATGCTCTATGAAAACACTGCTCAGCCTATATTTTTAAACATATTGCATACAGATATAATCTGTAACTTCTCACATTTTTCACTGACTTAACTGATCACTAGGCCAAAGGGCTGGCTAGAGTAGAAGTACTGACTACTTTTCCCACCAGAACACAAGGCCAAGAGAAATCAGTTATTCCTTGTTCCTCATGTCTGCTAATATTTTATAAACGAAAGACCCATAGCTGTCCTTGAATACATGTTAAGTTAAGCCTTGAAAAGTCAGGGCAAAAAACAAACAAACAAACAAACAAAAAAACTATTGTCAGTCTTCTTTTATATTTAATTGCATGCTAACATAATTTTGTTCACTTCATTTCCCTTCTGTACTATTAAATGAGACCATGGTAGAAGCTGGTAAAAATGAAAGTCTATTAAAGCTATCCTGACTTAATGTAAATAATAGCTCATTATAAAATAAAAATCCTGAGACAAATGCTAAATGTATCATAACCTGAGAGACTATCTTAACTACTTTTATACAATGTCTAACTATAGACTACATAAAGAGTTCTGAACTTTCTTTTTTGGTACTAGGATTTGAGTGTAGGCCTTGTTTATACTAAGCATGTGCTATGCCACTTAGCTATATGCTACCTCTGAACTTGCTTGTAAGAGTAATGTGGTGTCATACTAAGGAAATAAGAGATTTGCATTTTTCAAACTACTTCAGCAAGTGTGGAGGGAAACTTTGAAAAGAATTAACATATATGCAATATTGCTTTTGATATTCTTGTGCTTCAAACTTAATTCTCAAAGATACACTTTTGCTTCTTATACTTTCTCACTGGACACCATGAAAATAGTAACCATTTTTAAAATAGCACTTAAGGACATGTCCCAGCCCTTACAACCCCTCTGCATCTAAACAAGTTCAATATTTGTTGACTTAACAATGAATACACTTGGCAACATTTTGCAGTTTTGATATTCTGTTTAATTGAAATCATGAGTTTAAAAACACTATAATTTACTTTGTATGACACTTCCTCATGATTAATCTGAAAAAAGCTCTTATTGCATCTCAGAAAATAAGTGATGATATAAGTTTAATAAACTTACTATCTCCTTTCAACAGGTTCAATGTCAAGGGTGTTAACTCCACTACTGTGGATTCTTTCAACATCTCTGTCTTTGTTTAATTCCAGTCCCAAAACCCTTTAAAAATTAAAAGGGAGAAAATAAAGATAAAGCTTGACAATAATAAATTAATTTAACCTAAATATATTCTTTACCAAGAAAGCATATGAAAATCACAGGTAATGGTTAAGTTTACACATTTACATATTTATAGATTTGTAAGGACTATAAAAAACTTATAAAATATTAATAGTTATATGCATACTTTTTCACCTGAAGTATTATCTTAAATTTATAGATTTTTAAGGACTATAAAAGACATATACAACTTACAAACATAAAATATTAACAGTTATATGCATACTTTTTCACCTCAAGTATATCTTAAATTTTATTTAAAGCATTTATTAAATTTTGAAAAAGATATTTAGAGATTGAAACTTTTCGCTATTTAATAAATTAAATTTAGCTAATAAATTAATAAATTAAATTTCTAATTAAATAAATTTAGCTGACATGTAATGCATTAAATTTAGCTGAGGCCATCTAGTGGACAAAGCTTGAATTACAGGATTTTTAAAAATTGCATTTTCTTAAATAGGTAGAATTAGAATTAATTCAACAATTAAGCATATTTAAATAAAGTAATTTTATCTCTTTATTAGAGCTTTGATCCTAAGAGGGTAGGACCAAAATCCATTGCTTCTTATCTGCCTTTTCACTTTTGAGTTGAACCTGGAGCCAAAAAAAAAAAAAAAAAAAAAAAAAAAAAAAATTTCATTTTTATGGTAACAGAGGAAAAAAAAAAAAAAAAAAAAAAAAAAAAAGGAAATTTATGGTAGAACAGGCTAACCAGAAACCAAAGCTTCTGACCAGACAACCAAAAAAAAAAAAAGGCAGTCCTAGAGAATGTGGAAATATCTGGGAAAGCTGAGATGAAGGAACTCAGACAACGATCCCATGAAATTTTCTATAGCCTTTTGGACTCATTCCTGAGTAGACCATGGATGGATTTAATCCTGAATATGATATAAAAAATTTTGAAAAAAAATTAACCACCACCACCACCACTCAGGTCACAGTTTGAGTGGCACACACCTGTTCAGATTTGAAAAAGCTTAAAAACTGAAATGAAACTGAACACACACACACACACATATATGCATGCTGAACAATCTTGCTAATCATTACCCGTTAAAACAAAAATATTACTATTTTTCCTAAGATTGAAATAAGACCCACAGTTTCATAGCAGAGTAATCAAAATGTCTAGAATGCAATCCAAAATCATTCTGCATATGAACAACTGTGAAAATTTATTTCAACTGGCACAGGAGAAGACAATCAATAGAAGCCAAAGCTCATTTGACACAGAATTTGGTATTATCTAACAAAGACTTCAAGGCAGCATTATAAAATACAGGAGCAAGAGATTGTGAACACACTTGGAACAAATGTTAAAATAGAAAGTCTTAGCAAGGAAACAGAAGAAATAAAAATAACTAAATGGAAATTTTAGAACTTTTCAACATAAAATCACTCTAATTTAATCGACTCAGTGTAAATTGGAACTGACAAACTTGAAGATAGAGATATTGAATTTACACAATTTAACAACAAAAGAAAAAAAAGATTGGGAGGGAGGAAAAGAACAGAGCTTCAGAGACCAGAGGAATAATTAGAAAAAAACTAACATTTATGACACTGGAGTTCCAGGAGAGAAGAAAAAATTTGGCACTAAGAAACTATTGGAAAAAATGGCTAAAAACTTCACAAGTGTGAAAGACATAAAGTCACAAACTGAAAAAGCAGAACTAAAGCTAAGAACGATAAACTCAAATAAATCCATATCCAGATATATTATAATCAAACTGCAGAAAACTAAAGACAACATTTGAAGATATCAGAGGAAAATAGGAAATTATCTATAGACAAAAAAATGTTAAGAGTAACTGCAAATTCCTTTTCAGAAAACATGAAGCCATGAGATCTACTCTGAAAGAACTGATGAGCAATGTTTTTTAGACAGAAAGGAAATGATATAAGAAACTTGAGACATCAGGAATTAAGAGAAAACAACAGAAATGGTAAATATAATGGACTATTCTTCCTCTTAAAATATGTTTGATGATTGCTAAGAAAAATTATAATATTGCCTATAATGTATGTAAATATATAAGACAATAATATCCAGGCAGGAGAGTAAAGGGTGGCAAAGTTTCTACATATCAAATGAAGCAGTAAAATAAGGACTCTAAGCAGACAATTAAAAGTTAAGTTTGCATTTTGTGATTACTAGAGCACCTACTAAATATATTTATATATAAACATTTATATGTAGATATAAAGAGATACAAGAAATCACAAGGTCAATTAAAATAGAGTACTAAATAATGCTCAAATAACTGACAAGAAAGCAGAAAAGGGGAAAAAAAGACATAGAACAAACAAATGACATCCCTGCATGTGGGAGTATAAAATGCTTTGGAAAATAATTCTTAAAAAAAATGAAATATATACTTAGTGTTCCACTCTTCCAGGTATTAACATATGAGAAATAAAAGCATATGTCCATACAAAGACTGGTGCATGAATTTTCATAACAGCTTTAAATGTAATAGTCAAAAACTATAAACTCAAGAGTCCATCATTAAATATGCAGATAAATTGTATATCCATATAGTGGATTGCTCCTCAGCAATGGAAAGGAATTGACACGTGGAACCGAGAGAAACTTCAAAATAACTATTCTCGGCAAAGAGGTCAGAAAAAAATGATTATATTCAGACAATATTCTGAATAGGTAAACTAACCTAAATTAGGGTCTTTGAGGATGAAACTTTTTGTTTTATTATTTTGGTACTGGGGATCGACCTCAGGTCCCTGTGCTTGCAAGGTAGGCGGCAGAACCACTGAGCTAAATCCCAGCCCTGAGAAGGGAACTTTGGCATGAATATTTTTTCCAAATACTCCAGGTGAGCACAATATTCTGACAAAGTTTTTTATTTTTATAATTTCTCCCCATCTTTTATAATAATCATCTCAGCTACACCTTATTAAATAAGCATTTTGCTTGAAGCCATTTGTTTGGACTGAATATTAGATAAACACTTTCATTTTTGTAAGAATAACAATTCTTTGTATTCATATTCAATTAGCTCACATGAAAATTAAATAATAACAACAAGTGAAACTGGCATTAATGGGATTTCAGATAAATACTGACTTTTCATAACCCCCAAAACAACTGTTAGAAGAAATGTTCATGAGATCACTAGGGCATATGTTTAGTCATAATTGTTAGGTTTTACTTTGGGAATTATGTTTTATAGAGAAGTACTAAATAATATTGGTTATGGGTTAACCTAGTGATTTGGTTAAGAGACCTCTCATTGTTTTATAGTTTTATTTCTTTTAATAAAATAAGAGGTTAAGGCCAGATAATTTTGCCAAAAGACCTATACTTAGTTACTTCCTCTGTGCAAGGGGAATTTTAGAATTATAAGACCCAATTTTTAAGATGCTCAGTGGCTCACATAATCACCAGTATTATAAATATTATAACATCATAAATTATTACTATATTAATACTACAGGAAAAAGAGTAACTTGCTTTTAAAAAAATAAAGCTCTTTTCACTGACATTAAAGATGAAGCAACAGGCAAGTTCACTCGTTTTTCACCATTTACTTTGCAGATCATAATGGAAGAATTGCAGAACCACTCGGTGTAAACAAGTCATATTATCACAGGAGGGAGACAAATTTTGATACATATAAATTTTGCATGAGTTCTTGCAGTCAGTAAAATAAAAAAAATCTCTGGATGTGTGTGTGTGCTATAACTAATAGATGACTGTGTAGAAAAAAATTACAGTTATCTCTACAATAGCTGGAATTAGGGAGAGACCAGTAGCAGCTGCAATGCCAATCAGGTTTAAAAACCAAACTGGTTTAAAAGAAAAAAATCACTGTTAAGTTGTTATTAAAAGTACACTAATATTTTGGGCCTTATTTATCATCCTAAGGAAGTAACACTATATGTAAAGATAATACAACATTTCAGCATACAAAATGTTAAAAACCACTAAATGATTATTATCTACTAAGATAATATATTGTTTTTTCAATTGTGATAAGAGCTTAGAAAATGGCTTCCAATGGTCTCCAACTCCTGGTTTTCATGACCTTAGGTAGTTCATGCTCCTTAAGTGTGAGCCAGACCTACTGACTCACTTCTGATGAGTAGAATATGACAAAAGTGATGAGATGTCATTTCTGAGATTAGGTTACAAAGAGTTTGGCTTCTATCTTGTATTTGTTTCCTTTGATGAAAGCCAGCTGTCTTGCTGTGCTCTGCCTCACAGAGGAGTCCATGTGGCAAGAAATAGAGGAAGGCCTCCGGATAAAGGCCACTGAAAAACTAAATCTGTTTACAGTTACTTTAGTGAGCTTGGAAGTGGATCTTCCAGCAGTCAAGTTTTGAGATGACTACAATCTCATCCAATATCTTGACAGCTTTGTAAGAAACACTGAGCCAGAAAGAGGACCCAGATAGGAGACAGACAGATTATTTACATTTTGAGCCTGTGAAACTATAACTCTCTCAACTGACTTAAACTGCTTAATTTGTGCTACTTTGTCACCCAGATATGGATAACATGCATAGTCGAGTTCTTCCTTTGGTATGTTAGAATGACTCATATCCATCAGTTTGTCAATAAACAAAATGTAGGCTGGTTTTTCCCCCTATCAATTTAAACTTCTTAAATAAGTCATTAATATTAGAAGTCTCCATTTCCTTTACTCTGCCATTCTTCATCTTACTACAATCTTATTTTTATTCTCATCATTCCTCTGATCAAAACCATTAGTGATTATTGTGCCATTTACATGCAATGCAAACTTAATTCTTCATATTTATTGAATGTATGTCATTCACATAACACTTAGATCTCTTTTTTTCTGATGGGCTAAGAATATAATAGTCACAAGAAAATGAATAATACAATTCTAATAGTAATATATTGTATGAAAAAAAGTAAAGCAGAGTCATGGGATAGAGAACTATTGAGAGCAAAGAATAAATTACAGGACAGAATCTGATGCATTTGATAGCTCCTGCTGCAAACACTGGCTTCCTACAGCATCCATGACACCTCATTTCCCTGGTTTCCCTTTGACCTCTCTGGTTACTGATGTCAGTTATCTGCAGGTTCTTCTGCCTAATGTCCTTCTCCTAGTGCAGGAGGTCCAACCAAGGGCTTTGCCTATGATAGGCAAACACTCTATCTTTGAGCTACATCCCTAGCTTCTTCTGCCTAACTGTAACTGTTCAAATTTCTCAGATTTTTGCTATTGAACTACTTCTCTTACTAAAATGAGTGGGTGATCTTATCTCCTCTTCATGACTTCATGTATCTTACTCGGAAAAAAGTCTAAATTCCCCGAGCATAGAATTCACACATGCAACTACTGTGTCTTCCACTCTCCAAATGAGTATCTTCACAAGTTCCTTAAAATCAGTACGATCAAAATTAAAAATAAAACTTGCTACCCCTTTGAAAATTCTTATCCCAGAATATGTCACCTCAATTAAACTTCCTATAGAAGACACTTATCTAGGAATTACTACTGATTCTTCTTTTCTCAAAATTCACACATCTACTTAATTTCCATGGCTGTTGTTTCTGTTTCTTAGACATTTTAAAATCTCTTCATTCTCTTTGTCCCACCCGTCGTCTCCCTACCTCGGGCTTCCAGCAACTCCCTCCTGGAAGACTGCAAATTACCTAACTTGGTTCCAATTCATTCTCTAAGGAGAAGGCAAAATCCAATAGTTGTAACCTTATTCTCATCTAGGCTCTTCCTCATCCAGTTTCTCCCTACTTTAACTTCATCTCTCGTCAATGGCCCCCGGCCCTCAAACTACGCTCTAGCAATTGGTCTAGATTTTAGTGTACTAGAAGAAAATGTAAGATTTCTTTACCTCCGTGTGGACTCTGCTCTCCGGAAGCGAAGAGGGTCCTCCAAACCTGCTTTTCGTGCGGATAAAAAGCCCAGCATTGCTTTTCCTTACAGCGTCTTGAGCACTGGACGCGGCCATGACAGCTGTGGAGGGGGGGGCTGGGCTGTAACAACAAAGTCTCCTATTGGACAAGCGTTATTCCAAGAGACCAATGGAGAGTGCCGTTACTTGGTAGGCTTGAGGATGGTAGGCGGGCCAGCCACTGTGGGCAGGGTCAGCGGCTGAAGATCCCTACTCAAACCGCCGCTTCTGCGCTGAGACTCACGCTGGGCACCAAGGGGCCAGCATGGGTTGGTCTCAGGGTTTATTCCGCGCCTTGTACAGAATGCTGTCCAAGGAGGTGAAGGAGCACGTGGGCACAGACCACCTCGGGAATAAATACTACTATATCCCGCAGTACACGAACTGGAGAGGTGAGACGAGAGCGAGGGCAGTGGTTGCGTGATTAGTAAATGAAGTAAAGTGAGAGCATCTCGCCCACCGACGCAGCATGCGACCCGTCCTAGGGTGTTGCGGAGGGCAGATCCCCAGCTCATCCGCCCTAAGCGACCCTCTCACTCTGGACTCTAAGCCCTGACGGGCCTGGCTCTGCCGCCTTCCCGGGACGTTCTGGCAGCGCCCGGGCCGCGAGTCTCCACGTCCTTGCCCTGTTCCGGAGAGCTCAGGCTGCCGGCGCGAACTGGGACCTAGCTCTCTACCCTAGGCGGGGTCTTAATCCTGGTCCTTAGGCGACGTGGCCCGGGAAGACTTGGTGATCTTTTACCAGAGGCCCTCGAGAGGTGCGCGGAGGTGGCTTTTCGTGGGCCTGTGCCCCTGCTTGTGGCCAGGGCTGAGGGGTGTCATTGAAGAGGTGTATCTTCAGCTCCTTCACTTTGCTCTTAGTGCTTACCTTCTTCACTGGCACTGTGGCTCCGGCGCTCTGGCCCCACGCGTCACCGCCTCACAACCAAAATCTGTTGCAAGTACCATGCACACTGATCACTTCTGATCCTCCCTGTTTCCCTTGGTAGGAAATTGCATCTCCAGCACCACAGGGTAAGGGACATGGCTCTAAATCGTGGTATTCCTGTTCAAGGTTCGTGCCAATTAGTGAAACGGGTTGTTGGGGGTGGGCGGTTAAGAGATGTCTCTGACCTTTAGATCACACCAGATAGCCGCTTTCATAACCTCTTTTATGTTGTTCCATCACGGCAATGCAGATCTCAGGCTTTGGATGAAGAAAGTAGTTGGCTCAGAATCTCAGTTGTTACAGTCCAGGAGATGGTGGCTAAGGGTCAAATTGTCCTCCTCATGTCTTGAAAGTTAGATATTGTCATACCAGTAATCTCGAAAAGCACTATTCCAAAATTGTGTTCCATCTGTTTCCTGAATACAGAAACTGTATCCTATGATTTTTTTCAAATGTTTTTGGCGTGGCCTTTTTCTGCAACTTATTTTAATATTTTACACTTGTTTCTCCTATGAGCTTTTAAACTATTGGAGTAGGGAATATGCTGCTTTCTGCCCCCAGGCAACCACTAATCTGATTTCTGTTACTATTATTAGTTTACATATTCTGGAATTTTATATAAATGAAAGTATATAGTATGCCTTTAACCCCTCTATAACTCACTCTATATAGTCATTTTGAGATTTATCCGTGTGTGTGAGTGGACTAAAGTTTGTCTGTTTTTATTGCTGATATTCTGGTGTATAGATACCTTGTTACAGTGTATAGATAATTTATTTTTCCATTCACCTGTTCATAGATATTTGGATTATTACCAAACTTTAAAAGTCAGTTTTACTGTATTTTATTTGAAAATAAATTTTTAAAATGATTTACTAATAGCAAATATAACACAAAAAAATGAGATAACACTATGCAATGGCCATGGTGGCTAACATTAAAATGAGTGACCATACCAAGTATGAATAACATCTGAATAGCAAGATAGGCAACATCTGAAACTCAGACATTGCTGATGGGATTGTAAAATAGTACTAGTACTTACTTGGGCTATTACAAAGAAATTATCAACATCCACGTATAAATCTTTATATAGACATACTTTCATTTCTCTTGATGAAATATCTGGACATGGAATGGCTGGATCAACTTGTAGGTACTCTTTAAGAAACTTCCAAAGTGATGTTGCTATTTATATCCTATCCCTTTTTGCCTGCCTGCCTTCCTTCTTTCCTTCCTTCCTTCCTTCCTTCCTTCCTTCCTTCCTTCCTTCCTTCCTTCCAGCAGGCTCTTAATAAGTTGCCCAGGCTGATCTCACATTTGGGATCCTCTTGCCTCAACCTTCCATATAATCAGTTTATTTATTATGCCAATAATATATCCTGTAACATACTTTACTCATTAGTGTGGTAGCCTTTTGCAAACCTAGACATTCTGTGCAGGTTATTATGTCAACTACTGATAAAGACAATTCTGATTTTTTTTTTGTTTGTGTGTTACATGTTTTATTTAAAGATTTTTAACATGAAAGAGAAGGTACAGAAATAGGGATTACATTATGATGACCAACACAGTATTCTACATGACCAAAATCAAAACAGAACAAATTTATAAAGTAAATGTACTGGCATTGAACAAGGTTCTTGAGATGTAATTCAGGCTCCATATATATAAAATGATTTTACTACAGGCTTATGCAAAGTGAATTATTTCCTAGAACACCAAAATGCCAACTGTAAACTGCCTTATTTCCCTGGTGAAAGAACTTGTATATACTATGAAACTTAAAGACTGCAAAAAAACAAAAACCAATTTAAAAACATATTTGAATCCAATTCTGCATAAAATATATACGGTAAATGTAATTACTTAAAATTTTTAAAAACAAAAGACCACTCTGAATAGAAGTTAAAATCTTATAAAGACAAATGTTCATCATTTGTATATCCTTGGTAGAACACTGATAAGATTGATATTCTCAAAACCTGCAAACATATCCATCAATCTTCTTTACAATGTCATTATCATCTGGAGTGAGGTGGACAGGTTCATTAGTAAACTGAGGACGAAAGTTGTCCAAACTGAATTCTCCAGAAATACTTGTTTAAAGGGAGGAGGCACTGCCTGCTCTTTACTCCGTCATGTTCCAGTCAACATTTTGAGAAAATAGATGTTCCCAAACATCAGCAAATCCTGTTTGAGGATGACAACCCAGTCGTTCCTTTGGGTCCTTGTTCAGAAAACTTTCCAGGACAGTTGCAGCTTCTACAGATAGTGCAGTATGTGAATTTTTCTTTCTAAAGTAACTTGTAGGAGATAATCAATTGAGTTTTGATTAGGGTTATCAGAGCTCTCAGCAATATGAAATGGAGACTGTTTGACCATCAGCTCAAACATCAGTACTCCAGGAGTCCACCAGTCCACACTGAAACCATAGTCTTCTCCTTTTATAATTTCTGGAGCAAAGTAATTAAACATGCCACAGAAAGTGCTGGTCGTATCTCCTGGCTGTAGTCCTTCCTTATACATGCAATAGTGAATTTAATGTGACCTTCTGAGTCCAGTAATAAATTGTCCAATTTCAAGTTTCTATAAAGTATCCCTCACTCATGAAGATAATAAAATGCTAAACTGATTTCTGCAGAGTAAAACCTGGCATGTTGTTTGGGAAGTATTCTTTGTTGCTGCATATGAAACATTAGCTCTCCTCCATTTACATAGTCTAGAACAAAAATCAGTCTGCTTTCTGTCTGAAAGAATATAGTCCAACAAGAAAAGGATGAGTAGATGCCTGCTTCAAAGTATGCTTCTCTGTACACAATCAATGTTGACAAGCTCTTTTTTATAACTTTCATTGCATAAATATGATTTTTTTAATTGAACCAACAATTCTTTTGCATAACTTTCTGTCCCTATCACCCAGAGTAAATTGAAGTCCTGAAGATCTAAAGTGGATGAAGCTTTGCCGGTTTCCCTGGTGTTCACTACCTTCTTGTCTTCAACAACTTGTTCCGAATTGTCATGACTTGAAGGATTTCATGGTACTACTGTTTGTGCAGGGTCTGAATCTTTGGATGATTGATCTATTGGCATCATGGATTCTGGTGGCAAAGAATGCTGCCCACATTCAATTGTGACAAATCTGTAGCACTTATGAACCAGGAGTTTACAGTTGATACACTTATATACCCGGTGCCCAAGTCCCCTTGTATGGTCTGTGCAGACAGCACAAGGAGAATACTTGGTGAAACATTTGGTTTAAAAATTTCGGCCATTTGCACAATGAAACTTTCTCCAAAGGTGGGCACGTCTGCAGTAGATGGATTTATCTTCTGGACAGGCATTTCAGGATATTGTAGTTCGCAAGGTGGTACATGAATTACGAGTTCAGAGTCCTTGTTTACCTCAGAATGCCTAAAGGCTTCTAACTCCAACTGAGATGATACAGTATGTGGATCTCCTTCCTCATTACCCATTTTGTGGTGAAAAGCTGTTTATTTTCAAAAGATCACATGTCTTGAACTTCATGACAAAAGCCCACAAAGGAAATGGAAGTCTCAAAATGTGTTGTCATGATATGATATCTTTTCCCATAATCAGGGGCTATTGAGTAGAGATGTGGGTTGTAGAGGTGCTCAGGAAGGAGTGACCATAGAAGGGTTGGCTGCCTAGGAAAACTGGCTTGAAGGGCTTGGTGAGCAAAGGCTGCCTGACTGCCTGCACCATGGTAATGATCAGCTAGGGCTTTGAGTCTCATTTTCTGGGAACACATACTACATCACTATACTGAATACTACACTTTGGTATTAAGTTCATTATCTAAGAATGAATAATCATTTATGTGCACCTCAAGATACAACCTGCTGTGGATCCACCACAAACACCCCAGGAGTTACACTTTGAAACAAACATTCATATCTCTTAGGGGAAACTGTTTTGGAAATTTCTAGAAAGTCTCAGCACTATCTAATTAAATAGACATGAAGATATAGTCAGTCCAAGAAAGAAAAGCATCTTAAAACTCAGAGCTTTCTAGGTGTAAATCTCAGGACTGCATCTTCAGAGAAAATGCCTACTTAAATGAAAAAGACCTCTCAGCATTGGCCCACCACACACAAAGTATCAATGTACACATGTAGCTTTAAAAGTAAAGATTTCACCAGTGCCTAATCTCACCAAAAGTTTTCCCAGTTCTGCTGTTCATAAATAGCACACTGGATCAGGCAAGATGGTGTCTGTAATCCCAGCACTCTGGGCAGCTGAGGCAAGAAGATCCCAAGGTTGAGTCCAGCCTGACCAATTTTGTGACCTACAGAGAGCCTCTGAAAAAATACAGTCAAGGATATACCTGCAGTTCATTGCAGAGATGCAGAGTACAAGCCCCAGTAATATAAAAGTAAAAAACTAGTAGATAGATGATAGATACATAGATAAAAAGATTCATAGATACTTAGATAGAAATAA